ATTTTAATATTAGGGTCCATCTTACAGAATAGTCCATGTAAGATTGTAAGTATGAAAATATTGCTATATTCTTGCAATCTGAAATACATATTCATACCAACAGTCACAAGACCTTTTCTGTCTGTTAACACTATTGCAGGCAAATAATTGTGTATAGGAAAATGGGAAATGTTTGTGGTAGTATTAGCTGTGTGGGGTTAGGCTATCATCATGCATTTGGTAAAGTAGAGGCTAGTTTGCTGAACAACTGAATATTATTTAATTCAGTAACTGAGCATACTGGTTCTCACCTCCCCTACCCCATGCTGCTGTTTCTGGTACAGAGGAAGTGACAGGGGGAGGGGTATTAGGCATCTCCCTGGGAGCCAGGGTGCACAGGGAGCTGACTTTTAAGCGAGCTCCACGCACATACTGGGAGGCTGTGTGTAACCGTGAATGCTAACTGATGAGTCTAGGCTCATCGGTTAACTGTGTACATGGTTATATTTTCACATCCCTATTTGAACCTTGGTCAGACTGCACCTATGGTCCTTATTTTCAGATGTCTGCTGAATGTTAAATTGACTCCTCTTAAAACCTAATGAATAAATGTCTCATTCCTGTTGCGCCTTTTCACAGACTGTCACAGAAACATGTATTCCATACCGACATGGTTCAAGTTATATATTATATATTATCACATTACAAACTTGTTAATGTAACCAGTCATGTTCAAATCTAACAATATAGTTCTTAAGAGTAGAAAGCCTCCAAATTAATTTCAGTTTAGTATCATGAACTGATATTTTAGCTTAGTGAAAGTATATGGTCTCAAAGTTCAACTTAAGCTTCCTGTAAATTTTTCTTTATGAGCAAAATCAGTCCTTGTAATAAAATGTGTGCAAAGCACTGATGGACCTTCCAATTCCTACAAGTAAGAAGAAGAAACTGCCATATCATTAGAATAAGCTGAGACCAAGTATAAAAATCAAACAGCTGTGAAATGTAATAAAAAGGAATCCCGTGTTTACTCCTTTTGCTTGTTTACTGTTTACTTTTAGGCTACGTCTACACTGGCTAGCCTTGCGCAATAACATATGCAAATGAGGTGCAGAGATAAATATCGCCGTGCCTCATTTGCATACTTAATGCGCTGCCATTTCATGCAAGGGGCTTTTGTGCAAGAGGGAGCAGTGTAGAGTGGAAAACCCACCTCTTGCGCAAGAGCCATTCTGCTGCTTATTTTCAGGCAGAACAGCTCTTGCGCAAGAGGAGGCTTTTGCGCAAGAAGGAGCAGTGTAGACTGTTCCTTTTTGCGCAAAAGCTCCTTGCACAAAAATGGCAGCCCATGAAGTATGCAAATGAGGTGCAGGGATATTCATCGCCACACCTCATTTGCATATGTTCTTGTGCAAGACTGGCCAGTGTAGACGTAGCCACAGTGTAGCTGTGAAAGTAAACAAGGGTGCCATTTGGGGGACTGGGGTCAGGAGCCATCCCTCCCAGGGTTGGAGCTCCTGGATTTCAGAGGTCTGCTTAAAGCCTCTGTCTTCACTCCAGAGACAGCTCTTAAAAGCAACAGAGTTTGAGCTCCTTGCAGCTTTACCATTGGGGGCAGGGAGTTTGTTAGAAAAAGAGGGAGGCAGAGAGATTAAGAATAACAAAAGGCTGAGCATTCAAGTAATTGAAGGCTCATTAGATCATCATGAGAACATTGTCGAGTACTCCACTTAAAAGGGGGGGAAGAGGATTAATGAGTATTGTGCTGCACAGATCTGCATTTCGGCCACTGCTGTTAAACTTTTCATAAATGTTCTTGAAAAAGAGGTACAAGGATTAATCCAAAGTTGATTGCAAAGAGTTACAAAGGGATCTCACAAAACTGGGTGATTGAGCAACACAAGGGCAGATGGAATTCAGTATTGATAAGTGCAAAGTAATGCATTTTGCATGAATGAAAAAGATAATCCTAACTATAGATACAAAAATGATGGGCTCTAAAATAGCTGTTACCATTCAAGAAAGAGATCTTGGAATCCTTGTGGATAGTTCCCTGAAAATATCTGTTCAATGTGTAGTGGCAGTCTAAAGACTAGAAAGCTAACAGAATATTGAGAATCATTAGGAAAGGAATAGATAAAACAAAATACCATATTTGCCTCTATATGAAATCATTGTATGCCCACATCTTGAATACTGTATGCAGATCTGGTCACCCCACCTAAAAAAATCTATATTATTCTGAAAAGGTACAGAAAGAGCAACAGAAATGGTTAGGGGGTAAGCAACAACTTCCATATGAGATGAGGTTAGCAAGACTGGGGCTTTTCAGCTTGGAAAAGAGATGACAGAGGGGGGGACGTGTTAGAGGTCTAGAAAATCATGAAGGGTGTGGAAAAATTGAATAAAGAAATGTTATTCATTCCTTCACTAACATTAAACAAGAAGATGATCCAATTCAATTTATAGGCAGCAGATTTTAAACAAACAAATTAGGCGATGGGATGATCATGATGATTTCCTCTTCTGTTTATTCCTTCCAAAGCACCTGACATTCACCACTGTTGGAAGACAGTGGGATTGGTTCTGCCTTGGGCAGGGGGCTGGACTTGATGACCTTCTGAGGTCTCTTCCAGCTCTATGGTTCTATGATTCTATGACAGGACACAGGGTTAGAAGGACCATTGGTATAACCCTGTATGGCCATTCTGATGTTCTTTTATAGAGTTTAAATGTATCTACCCCCTGCTGTAACCTCTTCCAGAGCTGAGATAGAGTCCAGGAGTCCTGATGGGGCCGGTCTCTCTCTCCACTGGGTTGTTAAAAAAGTAAGAATATGCATTACAATTTTAAGGCTAACCAGTGTCCCTTACGTGGCTTGCCACAAGATGTCAGAATTTACTAGTGTTAGAGCTGAGTGGGTCTAATATTTAATTAATTTTAGTTTGTTATATAGGAGTTAGATATAGTGCTACTGTCAGCTAATTGCTAAGTTATCTGCCCCCCCCCCAAATTAGACTTTTCCAGTACCTCAGTAGTCCCTGGATAGAGTGGTGGGAGGAGAAGAGGGCAGATGGGGTTGTCCCCGCCCCTCATTTGGTGATTAGCTTGTACTGAGCATGAGGTATAACACTGCTGAAGTCTCTGTCCTCAGTCCACCTCCCTCATGCCATCACTCCCCCCCCACAAACACATCATAGCATGTGCAGGTCGCCCCTCCCCCCCCAAAATCTGAAATGACACCCATGAAACTAAATTAATAATGTCATGGCTTTAGTATCCATTTTGGCTTAGCTTTAGTAATATTTAGTTCGTGTTTGTTGGAACTTCATGCTCTGAATTCAAATCAGTGGTTGTAGCTGCCATATCCTCTACAGGAATCCGTCAGAATGTGGGGTTTTTTGGAAGTTTTTTGGGAAAAAATGTTTTGTTGGTTTTCTCTAAATCCGTCAACTGTATTTTTGAACACTCTGCTTCATCACCTGCTGACTAAATGTTATGCGTTGTCTGTTGCTTCAGAGTGATCTAAATGGTAGGTATTCTGGTTTAGAGTCAAACTTTTCAAAACTATCCGAGTGATAGGAGCCAAAGTCCTTTTTTCTAAGTTGCATAGGCATTCAGGAGCTTGAAGAATTTTCTGCATACTGGTACTGTTTTGGTTTGGTTTTTGCTGCTCTATCCTTGCCAGTTTAGAAACTGGTACAATTAAAGTCATGGTACAAACAGTAGATGCAGATAAACTAGTATAAAACTTCTAAGCTGATATAAATAAAACATTATAAAAACTGTGTGTATACTAGCTCTAATTTTCATTTGAAAATCAATGGGACTTAGGCACCTTTGAAAATTTGACCCTAATTTTGGGTAACAGGAACAGGGTAAAATAAAAAATGTATGCTGCTGATTTCAAATAAAATTTAATGGTTTCATGACGTCTTGTGTCTTACGAACAGGTTGAAAAGTATGCTTTTTAAAATGTGCTTTGTTTTCTTTTCTCTTTCCTAGTCTTCAGTTAAATTAATGGACTTAATGCCACTGTAAAAGGCGGGACATATGTAATTAGATTAGGAGGCTTTCTAAGATGATAAATATTACGTGTTTCTAAATGAATAAGCTTGGAATTATTGCTCTAGTTGCTTCAGTGAGACAGGTGCAAGGATCGCTTTAAAAAACAAACAAAGTAATAATGGTCAGTTTTGAAAAATGGGATTTGGTGCTCAAATCAAATAAAGAAATAATAGAAATCGTGTATATTGTTTGTTTACTGGTTAGCCATAGGGAACAGTTCAAAGGACAGAACTTACAAACCTTGAACACGTAAGTTCTTACACAGAGCACAGTTCATAGAACCATAGAATTATAGGGCTGGAAGAGACCTCAGGAGGTGATCGAGTCCACCTCCCTGCCCAGCTGACCACTCTACCCTAGTGAAAATATGAGACAAGGCCGTCTAGCCTTGATCTGATGAAGAACTTAAACACAGGTTTCACTTGAAGCACATGAGCAGTCCTACCGACTTCTGTGGGACTACTCAGAGGCTCCACAGTAAGCATACACTAAAGTTCATTGCTGAATCAGGGCCTCAGGGGCCACGATTAAGTGCTATGTCTAATATTTCCCAGGGCAGCAATATTTCAAGTCCACCCTTTACCTTCAGTTTCCTAGTGTAAAACAAAGTTGG